CAAAAGCAGCGGTAAGATAGGCTCAAGCCCTTGCGAGAGGGAAAATCCGGCCGAGTCAGCAGACCGACCGGACATACAAGACACAGACCTTATAAGACTTGAGCCAAATAAAAATTAAGCCATAACTTGCCCAACAAAACAAGTTGACACATCAGTCAACCGCCTGACCAAAGCGATAGGTCCCGCAGAACCAACTGGCAAGACCTCTTGACAAGACGATCGACCTTATTTATACCAACCGATTACCCCTCTTGGTAAAGACACTCCGGTTGGTCGACCGACACGATCGGTCCCCTGCCGGCCTACAACATTCAAACTCATGTCATTATCAACCATTATTTTTTACGACATTATGACGATCATTCATTCAAAATATAGACATTGACTCTATTTAGAGGAGGCTGACATAACAGTTCTGACCTCCCTTAATTGTATCAATCAGAGCCCTTTAAATAGGTGATCCCAAGAGAAATAAAGACATGTTGTCTCATCTCTTTCCAGATGGGGAAATTTTTTTTTTCTCTCTCTCTCTCTACTCTTTTAATTCCGACTTTTGGGGCATTTTAAAATGAAAAGTTAGGGTTCAACATCCTGAAAGATGGTACGGTGAGCGTGGATGCCACAAATGAGAAGTGGAAAGGACTACAAAGAGGACACTTTCCAAAGAGAAATAGTACGCACGGAGCCCAATAGAGACGCTACGCAATTAGACGTTCATGCACAGATCCAGAGCCTACAAACCCAAATTACCCTAATGATGGAGCAATTCAAGGTCCTCCGGGCAGCAATCACCTAGAGGAATGATCACACGCCTCACCTGGAAGCGGAACCTCAAGAGCATCATCCCCAAAGGGCACCAGAGGAAAACTCGCTATGTCTGGACAGCCAGATCAACAATCAGTTGGCAGAGGGAAAAAGCGAGTCCCAACACACTGACACTACCATGTTTGCGCAGACAAAAATACTATGGGAAGACCAGATGTGAGTGCATGTCCGACCACTCATGGGAGGGACATTTACTTGTCAAATTAAAGAAGCAGTACTCCCGCCCAAGCTAAGGATCCCTCATCTGGGTTCTTAAAGAGGGAGGACCAACCCGATCGACCACGTGGCATCGTTTAAGTCATCGGTAGGTCTCCTCCAGATCAAAGATCTCATAATATGTTGTTATTTCTTAAACATCTGACACGCCTAAAAATTACCTACTTTTTATATTCATTTGATGCTAACTTTTAATGATATTACACATTAAAGGAATGTATTTTGCAAGTTTTTTGGTTTCAGGTACAAGAGTTAAAGTTTTGGAAAAAATGGTGTAATTCGGAGTCAAATTGAGCAAGGAAGAAAATTATGAACTAGCACATTTTGATATGTCTTTCTATACCCAATCTCCTTTGCATTTATCACATATTTTGAATGAAATTACCCTTTAAAGAAATGTTATTTTCATGTTTATCTTGTAGGAATAACACTTGGAGCGGTTTGGAGCAAAATGGAGAGAAACGACATGAAACGGGTGTGCTGCCACCAAGGGGGTGCCTAGGCGCTAGAAACAATGCCTAGGTACCAGTCCCGCCCAGAAAATGATGCATATGCGCCAGAGACGGTTATGAGCGGCTTCTATACGCCTTAAGGAGTTATTAAGTACCTTTTGACACTTTAGAAGACACCTTTCAGCATTTCAAACTCTTGAAAATTTCAAGAACGTCCATAGGTCGTAGATAGGAGTAGGAGATGTAAATTTCTACCTTTTTTGGGAGAGATTGGTGAGGGATTTTAAGAGATATCTAAAAGGAATTGTAGGAACTTTGCATGGATAAGCAAGAGACTTTGTTGGAGAGATTTTCATCTTTCTTTCAAAGAAAAAAAACTAAGTATTATGTTCTTCATTATCTTGTAATAATTGTAAACACTTTTTTAATGAATTTGGTTTGATTTAAACAAAGTTTTCTGTTGTATTTTCTTCATGTTTTGTGAGTAGTTTTCTGTACTCTTTCTCCTTGTGATGAGATTTAATCATGTGTGGGCTTACAATGTTTTAAAGATTTCTTTTATTTCAAAATTTGTGATGGTATTTTCACCGGTTCTTAATTTACTTTGCAAACTGATCATTTGTGATGTTAAAATCCGCTGCGAAACATAATAACCCAGGAGGGCTATGATTTCACTCAATTAGTGAGGACCACACTAACCTTACGAGGAGGGTGACCAAAATCTAAGGAGAGTGCAAATAGATAGGGGATAAGTTTTTGGTGGGCGTAGAATCACTGTTTCTAGGGTGACAAGCTAGATCCTTTACCAATTTAGTCTTAGTTCAGAACTTGAGTCTCTGATATGTTCAATAAAGAGAGCATAGTGGGTAATCTAAAAGTGAGGGGTTAGAATCTACTCAGCACTACCTTGCAATAAAGAACTTAACTTTAGATTAGTCAATGTTCTTTATACATTCGGGAGTGTGTAAGGAATATGTATGCTCATATTTGTCACAAAACCAATTTTTTACCTTTAAACATTTGATTCCTACTTCTATTGGGTGCTTTCGCCATCGTCGATCGATGGAAAAGAAGGGGCGATTACATCGAGGTGCCCACCAACAGTTATAGGAAGTGATTCGACCACATCTCTCGATGGCCCCCCACCCTCGACATCCTCCGTCCTGATCAACACAGCTGCATTTAAGAGGAATGTCAAGCTACTTTATCGGTCAAAGTCCAAAAGAATTCCTTATATAACCATGAGCTTTCTAGCTCTAACCAAGTCATAGGAAGA